GCTTTTTAATTTATGCAATGGAGAAAAACATTTTGGCAAAATACATGGGGGAAAAAACTCGAAAAACCATGTTCGGTATTCGGCCTTCGGCCCAGTGTTTAATTTTGTTCGATTCATGGAGCATTGAGTCATTCTTGAGAAGACAGATGCCACATGATGCAGTCCTTTTCTTTGATGTGCTTTGTGTCGAAATATTAACATCATTACAAATCGCATGGGCTTGATAAGAATCAAAATGTATTTTGTTAGTTTCAGGAAGCCAGAACTTTTTTCTGGAAAACCAAGCAGAACATTTGCATAGCAATCCTGTGAAACAAAGCCTGTTTCGTCAATAGAAATGGCTGCCAATTGGTCGCACATTGTGATCGGAGACCTTTAAAAACTTGCTTGGTCATGGAAAGAGTTTGTACTCCAGACTCCTTCAGAATATTTGGCTCTTGAAATGTTCTGATGTTTCCTCCTCTTTCTCTCTCTCTTCCTCAGGTGGTTTAGCAGCACAGTCATGCCAACGCTGAGCCCGTGATTGAGTAGCAGTGCTCCAGGCCCCGTCTGAGCCTCCAGCACCCCACCAGACAGCTGCAGCATGTCTAGTTCAGGCTTTCCCCCCAGCCAGGGGCCCTTCAGTAGCGAGCAGAGCCGTTACCCACCTCACTCAGTGCAGTACACTTTCAGCTCCACACGCCACCCGCCGGTCAGTACCACACACACTCCTACCTGCACCACACATTGCGCTGCCTACAAACCACATAACAAGAATGCTGCTAAAGTAGAACTATAACGGTCCCACTTTATATTAAGTGCCCCTAATACCTGTGTACTTACATGTGTGTACTTGTGTACTTAACTAAATGTGTACGTAGTATGTAATCACAGTGTAAGTACACATTGGTACATGGTATCTACAGCTGTAATATTTCTGTAAGTACACCCATGTAACAACCCTCAGGATGGTTTGTGTAAGTACAAATGTGTAACAGGACATATATAACTACATTTTGTAGCAACAGTATGTATAAGAGTAATTGGAACCATTTGATCCAGGGGGTGGAGATGGGTAGGTTTAGGGGTGGAAATGGGATCCAGGGGGTGGAGATGGGTAGGTTTAGGGATATGTGAAGTGGGAGGAGTTGGATCTTGAATTGGAGTTGGTGCATCACTGTAATACCAGTGTACTTACATGGTAACTCCTCAGGAACTGTCCACTTAATATAAAGTGTAACATTCTGGACACCAACCACAATTTATATGTAAAGCCTAACTTACTGGCCGCTGCTGTGTAACATCAGAGTAATTACATGATAAATCTAATATAGAGTGTAACACTTTCTTTACCAAAAGATGCTGTTAGTCCTGTTACACATTTGTACTTTCATTACCAAAAAGTGTTGTTACCATTGTCCTGTTACACATTTGTACTTACACATACCATTCAGTGGGTTGTTACATATGTGTAGTTACACAAGCATTAGAGCTGTAGATACTATGTACCAATATGTACTTACACTGTGGTTCCATACTATGTACACATCTAGTTATTATGCAAGTACACAGGTATTAGGGACACTTAATATAAAATGGGACCCTATAACTGCAACTTTGCTATTCCTGTGTCAGTCACACTTTGAACTTGTTAATTTTGTGTGTACAGTGCAGATCCTGAACCACTAGAATGTAACCACCTATTCTTTGTAACAGAGCAGTCCTAAATACTGCTGCAAGCAGCCATCACACATCCTTAGTTTAATGAGAGCTGTTTTTTGTAAAGTTTATAAACAGGAAAAGGACATGGCATCCTCTGTGTAGCCTGAAATGTCAATACCGGGGGCTGTTTCATAAAACAAGTTTACCAAATAAGCCAGGCTTATTTCAGTTAGTCTGACTTATTTTCACTTGATTTGGTTTTATAAAGCAAAATTACCATAGCTCAAGCTCAGTCACTGTGGCAGCTTATGCTGGGAAACTAACCTGGTCTGGATCAGGCTAACTGTCAGGCTAAGCTGAGCTCCTTTAACACTGACCAATAGGAATGCATTGATATTACCACTGACTCTCTCACATACAATTAGTTGACTTTATTATTAGTCCAAAATAAAAGCATACAGAAAATGCAACTTAAATAATCAAATAAATAAAAAAATAGGCTACAACCAATTGTATTTAATGTATTGTGGCCAAAATGTAATGAGCTTTTTTTTTTTTTTTTTAGATATATGAAAAATTTTAACAGAGTTGCTACTTGCACATTGTTGATCAGCAGTTTCTAGCCATGCAGCCTTTCTCTTGGGTTTTATGACAGCTGTACCTTTTATGGTTATTAGTAGAACATTAAAACCACTGAATTAAAAATGAAAATAAATAATAGAAATCAGACTACATTTTAGCTGATAAGAGGAACACACATTTAACTCATTTGAGATAGTAGGGCTGTATTAGCAGCTTACATTTGATTTACAGTTACTGCTATGATAAAAAATACACTTATATGTAGGATTAAAATTCTACATGTCACATTTAATGTCCAACAACACATATTTTAGCAGAATGCATATTTTATTCAGAATTATTGCCCTATTATTCTATTGCGTTCCATCTGTTTAGTGCGCACTCCTGACAGCAAAATGGATATATTTGCATGACTTTCTAACATTTACAGATGAAAAAATATCTGTGACGTGTCAGTTATGCACGGAGGAAAACACAACATCTCAAATGCATTAAACAGCACAAATATTTGCTGTTTGCCATGGTGGATTGATTTGTTCCATGATCGACATTAAGGGCTGCTTAAGAATAAACGTGCACATCAAATTATCCTGACTCATTGAACCTGGATCGAATTAGTGAGATTGCGTGAACTTAAATTGTCATTTATGAAACCGCTTTAGTCCCGATTGCTTTGTTAGGTTATTTCAAGTCAGGTTTTGGACTTTTAATACCCGCTTTTGTTAGCGTCTTTTATGAAACAGCCCCCTGGAGTAGGATGTTAATACCAACAACCCATGTGTTTTAAACCCACATTACTTTTAGACATGCGGATATCCTACTGTCTCATTTCCTCAGCTCTCATTTCCTCTCTAAAAGTGAGATGTATGTGACAAAAAGGTTAGTTACTTCACACAGCTTAACTACGTCCTTTCTCCTAACAGCCAGCCCAACCCACTTAATTGTTCACCTCTGTATAGCGAGTGCCGTGTCATGGGGCGTTCACACGTACAGAAGTTTTATTGCTAGAGTGGATGTATTATTATTTGTAGTAAGCATTTCTACTGCTTGATGATCTTAAGTTATTAATGGGCCCACGACCTTTGAAAATATGACCTCAAATGGGATGCATTGCTGGTGTCATGAGCAGTTCAGTCCATCTGTTGAGTTGAATCTGATTCAGACCCCACAGAATAGCTGTTTGTAATGCCTTATCAGACAATAACATGTGACTTAATATAGCAATTTTTATTCTTAAAAATTATAAAATAATTTAATGTTTGCGCAAGGGATAGGCTAAGCTAGCATTTGGTTGCAAAACCTAAAGTTTGGATTGGAATACACTACATGATTGTATACATACAATGTATTCACAATATACAAATTAGGCTTTTAATGATATTCCAATTTTTAAACTGCATTAAAATGTATAGAAACATGTAAAGCATTAGAAAATTAGTATCCAAGTTGTATAATTATGTTTCCCGCACAAAGATAAATGTTTCATCATATATGCCGCTCTGTGCTTTGAGAGGGTTGGTGAACACAGGCAGGACAGAGCCCATTTCTTTTCCTTATCTTCATATTTTCTTCTTATATTCCAAAGCAATTGACAGTTTGTAAATGGTCAGAAAAGTGAATTATATCTTCCGCACAAGCAGGACATTTATATTGAAAGTTGCGCTGCTGGGGAAAATGAATCTGAATTACCAGCATGTTAATGCGCTATACCACAGAGATATGCAGCTGCATGTGATATGCAGAAAAAATAGACATTAACTTGTAAATTCATTCCTACAATGTATTAATTCATTGCCACGTTTCTCAAATTTGTTCCCTTGTTAAATTAAAACTAAGAAATGGATTAATACAACTAATTAGCCACAATTTAACTAAACTGATGGAACAAATCAGTATCTTTATTTTTTCATCCTGCATGTCGTTTCCAAGGCTTTCCACAAATACACTTGATGTGTCTTACCTTGTCTAACAAGCACAAACTGTGACAATGTTGAATGTGACCAGACTGAAACCTGTGAGATGAAATATTTATATAAAATAGCCTCTGTGCAGTGTGACCAGTAATATCTAATTTGTCAATAAATCACTTGCGTAGACTAGTGGTCGACCGATATATCGGCCGATATTTGGCATTTTATAAATATCGGCATCGGCCGATAAGTTTTCCTTTTTGGCTGATGCGTTCCAGACTTTTATTTTGACGGCGCAACAGACTTTTATTTTGGCGGCGCTGAGAACGCCAACACCTGGGCACACAGTGCTCACATTCTCCCTCTGGTTCGCTGTTGTTCTGTCTAATACAGATAGACGTCTGTCTAATAATCAAATAAAACGGTTAAACAAAGGAATTGTATACAAAAAGTCTTATAACGACTGCTTTTATATTATTAGTAATAGATAGGCAAAAATAATACTTTCTTGTTTGCCATCAGCATTCAGCAAATACGCATTTATATCATTTAAACAAATCTTTGAATGTCTAATAAACATCCAATTTCAAAAACCTTGCAAACTTAGTCGGGTCCAGTTGTGAGATCTTGTGAAGTGTGTGTATCCTGCATGATCGCGTGTTCTCTGTGTGATGATCGGTCCGTGCGAATTGAATGCTGACAGGAGGAGAGTTCAGCTTCACTGGAGATGCGCGATCGACAAAATTTAAACTAGCGATTTTAAATTATGCTGCGCTTTATGCATTTTCCCACTGTCATATTCATGTCATTTTCACTGTGTGCTGTATGTAAAATGAGTGTTACCTTGGCTTTATTTGAAAAAATATGATTATGCACACAAATATGTACGTTAATGCACACAAACTTCCCAGAATACTGAGTGCCCTGTTGGTTACAGTGTTTACTTCCTTTTTAATTATATTTTTATTAAATATTTATTTATACGTGAAAATACTTTGTCATCTAAAGTGTATGTTTATTTAACACATTTATTTTTTAATCAATTTTCAAATGATTTAAAATTTCTTAAATATTAATTAAAATAAATAAAATTATATCGGCTTTATATCGGCCATCGGCCACCATGGTTTCCAAGATATCGGCATCGGCTGTCAAAAAAACAATATCGGTCGACCGCTAGCGTAGACTGTCATTTACCAAAAAAAATAAATAAATTAGACTAACAATTCTTTCTGTAACAATCAGAGTGACCAGCCTGCAAAACAGAACACAAAGCCACATATGGCTTAAATTTATGGGCTCACGTACCTTTCTCTGCATGAATTATGTTGTTTTCTTGGTCGCAATGTAACATTTGGCTGCTAACCAATTATTTCTTTTGTAAACAAAGCTTTGTATTTCACTGTTGTCCTAATAATTATGTCAAAAACATTAATATGTGCCAAAATGTGTTTTGCTGTACCACCATGGAGGTGCTCCACCACCGCCGTTGTCATGCTAACTAGCACAGCCCTAATTAAAAGGCATTAATGAATGTAATATGACATTCTAAGCAATTTTGTTGGATTTTTACTTTTTTTAGCCAGTGAAATTGTTTTGGGGTGACTTGATTTAGTAGACAGAACGATTTGTTCATGGCATCAGTAAACTGTAGAGCAGTGATTTTTACATGAGCTTTTCCTTTGTCTTTTCTTACAGTCAGCAATCGTGTCTCTCAGGAGATAATGATCAAGTTTTCTCTAGTATCTTCACTCCTATTAGTAGTGGTTGCATCACGTTACTACTAATTGGCATAAAAGTGAATGCATTGCCAACTATTTCTGCTGCTCATGTCTCTGGAAATCGCCAGCTCTCATTGATATTGAATGACGGGCGACACTGTATGTGTGAACGCCCATCTATGCTTATTTTCTCTTTTCTTTTCTTCCTCAACATCCCTTTCTGTTTCAAATGAAAAGAGGGCCAGAAATGGCTGGGCCTCAACATTATAAATCAATTTGGTTATCACTGTAGAAAAGCAGAAATAAACAAACCCCAGCTGTTCTCTCTCTTCTCTGCGCTTTTTCTCTCTTTAATTCACATTACTCAATTATTTACACATTTCCTGTTTGCAGACATGGACATGGCCATGTTTGTTCTGGGGTTGTTAGCAGTTTAGAAGCATCTCTAACACAGATGGTCATGAAGTGTGAGTGGCTTCTAGAGGAAATCTCTGATGTCTGTCTATTTCAGTGAGGTGACCTCATACCAGCAGATCTTGCAGTAATCCTGCTGTACCACAGCCAACTCAGACAACTGTGATTGCGTTGTCACCATTTAGCCATACAAAACCGTGCCTCAATATTCATTTCATAACATGAAATTCTGGGCATGTTTTTCTAAAAACACTTAAATAACTTGTTTGGAAATTGAGTTTTTCATTAGTTGAACAGACCTAAAAATCAACATAGTTAATCATGAATAATGATTTGGGAGTCATTCAAAGTTATTAGCTGATTTTCTGATGTGCTAGGGATGTGCGGGTCTAGTCGACTAGTCGACTAAACAGTACAGCTCCTACTAGTTGACACTGAAAACAATAGTCGATTACACAACAAAAAAACATAATTATCATTCAACCATCATTTTATGTTACCATCATTTTATGTAACAAATTACCATTGTTACATTTAAAACATTTTAAATAAGTTAAAATAAAACAGTTGAAAAATAATACATTATTTTTAAAAGTGTATCTGGGCGTAAACTACATTTTTACCTCGCATGAGTTTTTTTCGTGTCAGTTGTGGCAAGCTCAAAAGTGACCACGTGAAAGTCGGGCAAGGTGTGGGATTATTTTGAATTAGAAGGAAACGGAAAAGTTTTGTGTAAACTGTGTTATGTCAAATTGGATTACAATAACTACTGGAGCGATGCGTAATCATATTCAATACAGGCACGTAGGCGTTAGCTTAGAGACTAGCCAAAGCCAGCTAATGTCAATCAAGTCATTCACTACAGCCCGCCGCCGCTGCGATCCCGTCCGCGCCGTCTATTCCTCTAACGAACACCCACTTCGGTGGTGGTGCGGGATGTCCAGGCGCTTTCCGAAATTCTGTTGGCTTGCTTTTTCTTTATCTCTGCGTGCCTGCGACTTCAGTTCCTGCAGAGCGCGTTTTTTCAAGTGCAGGAATTAATCGCCTCAGGTCATGTCTTTCTTTTTGTTCGTTTTGTTTTTAGATGATATAGCCTACATGATGAAGTATGTTTTTAAAAGCCGTTTTAATGCTATTCCTTGATAAAATTTCCTATTGTTTTTGACTTGTTTTAATATGTTAGCTAATGCTCCGTTTAAACGACAGTCAAATTAGTCGTCGCGCACATCCCTAGCTTGAACTGAGATTAGTCACTGTTCATTGTCTCAATTGTAGGAGCTGTGCACAGCAGTGTCATTAATAATGACTGTAATTACAGAGAGTTACTATTGTGACTGCTTTTAACTCTACTGCTTTACCCTTGGTTTGTGACTAAAGCCCAAGGTGTTCTTTAGTTTGCAGCCTTTAAAAAAATATTCCATTTGATAGTGTGCGCAAATGCAGGCAGTTGACACATGCGTTCTAGAAAGCATCATCTTTGTTTTGCGTCTGCTCTATTTTTCTCCAGAAGTTATGACCGATAAAAATGTCTTTGTACTCTTTTAAACTGAAGTTGCTGCTATCTCGTAACACTCTCACACAAGTGCTTGTCAATGCGTGCGTCTGTTGTTGTTTCAGTCTTTGCTATTTTGTTGTTCCATCTGTTTAGTTTTGCTTTTCTAATGTGAAATGCCGGGCCAGTGTTGCCACCGTGTGGAACAACTGATTATTGCAAAACCAAGTCAATGCACATATGCGACTTGCTCGTACAAGGTATGCGTGGTAACAAAAATTATATTCTGGTGACAAAATTTGCATCACTCATACTGTACGCGGACCTGCAAATACGTGTAAAACCCAAAGTATACTTTGGCTTTAAGGATTGTTTAAGAACAGTATTTTAAAATAATATAACAAATACCAGTTTGCATTATCAAGCTGCATGACGGACTGTTTTTGTTGTTATAATCACTGGAAGCTGAAAGCCAATATCTGTGCTTGCTCTTATGTTAAAAAAAAAATTCTGAGAGTTTTAGCATTACAACTTTAAACACGGTTTCCATTAAATTATTAAGCAGCACAACTGTTTCATATTGATAATAATAAGAAATTAATATTTTGAGGACCAAATCAGCATTTTAGCATCATGTGAGACTTAAGACTGGTGAAAATTTAGCTTTGCAATCAAAGGAATAAATTATTAATATTAAAATAAAAATGTGTGTAATAATTTTAATAAGTTTAATAGTATTTCACAATATTACTGTTGTAACTGCATTTTTGGTCAAATAAATGCAGTCTAGATGAGCATAAGAGACTTATGCGAAAACCCAAACTTTTGAATGGTAGTGTATTTCTCAGAAATGTATCTGATCAAGTGTACAAATGACAATATCCATATACATGATCATAGCTAGCCTAATTCAAACAGCAATTACTTAAGACCAACTAGTTGTTCTAAGAACCCATGACTGGTGAGTTTTGAATGTAAAATTTGCACTGTATAATTGTGATGCAGGAGCGCTATAACACTTGATAGTGCCACGTTTGATAATGGAAATAATTCTTTAGCTTGCTGTTGTTAAAGAATGTTTTTTTTTTTTGCCTGGTTCTTTAAAACTGAACTTTAGTCTGAGAGTAAACCAGCTTCAAGAAATGACTCACACATGGCAGCTTCGGTTGCTGAGCTGTTCTCGGTCCTGCGTTGATGGTGTCTGTGGTTTTCTAATGGAATGGTGAATTGAAGGTTTGATGATCATCTCTTCTGTGGCAGTGAATGTATTACAGATAGCTCTATGTCCGTGTTTTATGATGCCATGTTCTACCAGAATGTAAAACAGACTTGTGCTGGTGTGTTCTTGACTGTCTGGGGAGGCTGTCTTGTCACAGTGTATTTTGTTTTCTCTTTATCCCTTTCGTTCTTTCTCACATAGATACACACTATTTGTCTTTTTTCCCACTTGTCTTTAAGGCTTCTGAGCCCTCATCCATGAGGTCCTTGTGCTTTTGTTTTGCCTAGTGTTTCCTCTCTGATGTGTGTGTGTCTGTGTTTGTTCAGGAGTTCCCGGTACCCGACTACCGTACCCCTCTGCAGGACCAGCAGCGCCGCAGGCCTTCACTACTATCCGAATTCCACCCTGGGACTGAGAGGTGACATAACCGCCGCCCGCTTGAGACATAATGCTATGCTTCTAATTTAATTCTGCCCTATTTAAAGATAGCGTATGATGAAAATGACCATATTTTCTTTCATAAATATGTGAGTGTTTCTTCTTTTAAACCCTCGAGCCTTCAAACTTTTGAGTTTTTGTGTGTTTGACAGTTTTGTTGTTTAATATGCTACTAATTCCGAATCCCAGAGAAATGCAGTTCTTGGTTGACAATATGTGATTGGAATATAAATGCATTGTTGCGATTCGCAAGTAATTGTTTTTTTCATTTATTTAAAAATGAACCCTAAAAGGGGTGACGTATCCTGGGGGATACAAACATTTGAAAAGCTGTGGGGAGAAGCAGTAAAAGCGTAGGTCTCATTTCTTGGTTTCATCTTGAAAGGGTGTTTATTGTGAATATTTAGATGAGGTCTTTGGGGAAGTCGTGGCCTAATGGTTAGAGAGTCGGACTCGTAACCCAAAGGTTGCTGTTCAAGTCTCGTACCGATTCCATATTCGGGGGCTGTTTTGTAATAGAAGTCATATTGTGACAGAAAATTATTGATTTGTGACAGAAAACTGCATTAGAATAATTCAATAGAGTTGTTGTGACACTGGTGTCACCCAGTGGTTGTTTTTGGTATAGTGCCCAAAGAAAATCTCACAGGAACCACAATTTTTGGGATATCAACTTCAAATTCGGAACATAAATTGGTTCGACATATGGCTTTGGTTTTATAGCAATTTTAGAGGGCAACATATTTTATAAAATGTTTATTTTATATAAAATATAAACAATTAGTATACTATAGGCTTGCCGCGATAGACTGTGTTGACGGTGATACCGGTGTTAAGCCGCAACACCGGTTACGTCACTTGCCCACCGCGGCACCGACCCCCCGCGGCTGCTCAATGCAGCGTGCCAAACGACAGTCGCATCACAGATCCGATTTCATTTATCCAGTGAGGAGAGTGAGTTGAGCTGACTGACAGGAAGAGTGGGGTGAGACAGACAAGACAATCGCGGATGATTTAGTTTCGAAACGAAATGCAAAAGCGCCTGTTTGGCAATATTTTGGATTTTGAAAAGCCTGTTGACTTTTGCCATTTATCTAAGGTGATTTTGAAGTTTTTTTTTTAACCCTTTAACTGTCACCCGTCCCCTCTGTGAGACGCCTGAGTTTACTTCACTATATTACAATTAAATCCTAATCTAATCATGACAAACTATATATCGTTGGAAAGGTCTAAGACTCCTAAATAGATATTTTACCAATGTTTTTGTTAAAAATTATGTAGGAAAAGTAATAGATTAATTTATCTATATCATAACAGGAGTTCTGACCTTTGTCACAAAAAGTCTTCTTCATTGCCTTTTTCTCTATCACACTTTAGAAATCATCAGAAATTATATATCAATTGAAAACTTAAAATCTCAAAATTCATCCTTTGAAAACCATTTTAAAATCAGACATTGCACATTGCATTAAATGGTACATCAATATCATGTTACAAAATGTTTTCGTTCATGAATTATAAAAATTTAAGATTTAAGT